ACACAGTTCTGTTTCCTGATGCCAGCCTTGTCCCAACAATCCCCTGGAGCCCCAACAGGTCCAAAGCACACCATTCAAGTCTATCTCATACATTCATACAAAACATAAAACACCTTGCATGCATGTTTTCATGTGCATCAGAACTTAATAACAATGAAAGATAAGCCTATGGACTCACATTATATACCTGTGCATTAGCCTTTGCTCACTGAAAAGCTGCCAGCTCCTCTAAGCTTTAGATGTCTCTGCATTTGGACAGGTGGGCCGGCACATGTTGAAATCCGTATTCACAAGAGCACAAGTCAAAAATAAGCCTCTTGTCATTTTCACAGCTGCTCCTCTCTCCTGCCAACTCACTTTGATTGTGTGACATTTGTTTAATTGGAATTTTGTAAGTCAAAGTATTGCATCCTGGTAGGCACATTTAATCTTGAAGTAAAAAAGTGTACTACAGTTAATCTACTGCAATTTAGGGACAAGTTTAAAAAAAGTTTAAAAAAAAAAAAATACATGCAAGAACATAACTATTTATTTATTATTAATTGATTATTTATTTTACATTCCTGTGGACTATAAAAGACCAGTATTGCTATTGATGTTGCCATAGTCTATAGGCTTGTGATGTTGAATTGAGATGGGGTCAGGCAAATTCCTCTTATTAAATGGACTAATAGTCACTAATGTAATTGATTAGGTTCAGCTCAAGAGGATTTTCCTTTTGAATATTTCTAATAAAATAACCAAGTAATTGATACAAAAGTACTGTTATTAGCACATTATGGTTAACATTTAAGAAAGGCCACAGAATGGTTTGGCAACAGGTGTGTGCTAAAACAACATACAGACCTTAAACTATGTAGGGAACAAATGGGGACGTAAAAGAGTGGTGACACATAAACTCAGGCAACAACACGTGGCCTATTAGGGTCCATTGTTTTACTGCCTATAATGAGACAATTATAGCTCTCTCATTCCATGTCTATACTTAAACAAAAAATGACATCTGACAGTCTTATACAATCAGAAAACAACAACTGTTTTTCTATTTTTGTCATATTTAATCCTTTTGTTAAATCTTGTGAAATTGTAGGCAGTGGGATGAACAGCTAGACCCTCGCCTAAATGCCAAACAGAAAGAAGCTATCCTGGCCATCACCACCCCCGTGTCTGTCTCCCTGCCCCCTATCCTCATCATTGGACCCTATGGCACAGGCAAGACCTTCACTCTGGCCCAGGCTGTCAAACACATCCTCCGCCAGGACAATACCAGGTTTGTTTTATTATTTTCTTGGAGTGGTCTCACCTTGCACCTTTGTGATTGTGAAACTGAAGCAGTTTTAGCTCTTCCTTTTATTTTGCCCCTTGATTTGAGCTCAATAAAAGTTTGTTGACATGGGCGATAAGTTGCCTGTGAGGTCAGACTGAGGGCATAATGGAGATTGGCAGAGGGGTCTTTGAGTGTTTATTGGATTTGCGTTTTGCCTCAGGGACACAGGAAGCCATTGGTTTGACATTTAAACTTAGAATAACTGAGTAGCTAAATTGTGTGCAACAGAGTGGGTGTTATTTATAAGATTGTGCAAGTTTGTGCCATGTTCTTTTTGGTCGGCAGTTATGGTTAGTCTCCACAGCCTTGTAAACTATAATAAAATCTATCAAATTATGCCACTTCAGTGAGTTTCCTAACAAAACAACATTCTGTATTGGCATTTTTTATCATTAGTGAGATTTTTCCTCAATGTGTAGATGCCCACAGAGAGTGCTGTAATTGTTTCAGTTAGAAGAGAAGCAGTGTAGATGCCATAAATGGTTCCCTAGTCTTGTGAAAAATGAATGCAATACACTGGACAGTGTCCTCAGAACTGCAGCTTCCATTTGTTCTCTAAGGAAAGATGATGTATGTGTAACATGTAAAATGTGTCCAAATGTAATATTTATTCCTTATTTCAGTTCACTCCACAGACATTAACTATTCCATGTATACTATGAATTATGGATGTTTTAAAAGCTAAGACAAGTGTGATGGACTAGACAGTTTGTGTTTCCCCTCACTGAGTGTGTAGACTGTGAGAAAAAGTCAAGTAGACTCCCGACACCAATTCTATTGTTGATTTAAATGCATACATTTACATTTGTATTTTATTTGCAACTGTATATACATGTATATATTTTTTATGAGAACACATCAACATTGTAACCATTTTACTAGTTAATTATGGATCCATCAAAAATTACTTGCTTTGGCTATGAAAGTATCAATATCTTGTTTCAGGTCAAAATTACATTGTAGCACTTTATTAATATGCCTTATTTTAATACATTAACCACTCCTTATTGTTTGTTGCACTTACAGGTGGGGCAGATTATTATTTATTTAAAATAGGACATAGGGTCTCTGCTGTGGAGAGTTAGCGAACAGTTCCCTGTGTGTAGTGTGACCTTTGAGTCTTTTGTCTCTACAGGGTCCTCATCTGCACACACTCCAACAGTGCAGCTGACCTTTACATTAAGGACTACCTTCATCCTTATGTTGACGCAGGAAATGCACATGCCAGACCTCTCAGGTACAGATTTTTACTATATGCTCTAATTGACTTGATTCTATTCAATGCCTAACAAAACATGACATTTTAAGTGAAAAAGTAGTATTTTAGTATATGATATATTTCTCCTTGGGTGTGCCCTACTTTACAGTGCAGAGATTCGGGCAAAGCAAGTACCCTATAGATATTATAAGTATACTAGGAAACATGACTAGGACAAATAATCCACTCAGTCCTTCTCACAGTTTATAGTTTATGAATTGAAGATACTATGTAAAACTACAGTATACTTAACATTTCAATGACCTTTTCATTACTCTATTTAACAAACAAAAAGTTTTTGTGTAGTTTTAGAACCAATTGCCCCAAAGGTCATAAATGGCAAAAACTATGTTTACCTTGACCGGGCCTTACAGTCGGAAGCCTTCCAGAAGTACAAAATAACTGCGGTGTCCAAACTCTGCCCAAATGAATGAGCCAAGTTTAGTGATGAGAATTTTGTATTTCAAACTTGTAGATTAAAGGGAATATTAAATTGTGTTGTTCTTTTATTATAATTGATATACGTTCTAATGTTGGTTTTCATGTGTGGTTTTCAGGGTATATTTCAGGAACCGCTGGGTGAAGACGGTGCACCCAGTTGTCCAGCAGTACTGTCTCATCTCGGGGACACACCTCACTTTCCAGATGCCCACCAAGGAGGACGTATTGAGGCACCGCGTGGTCGTGGTCACCCTCAGCACCTCCCAGTACCTCTGCCAGCTTGACCTAGAGCCAGGTCAGTCCCACCAGTGCTGTTACCCCATTTTACTGTGTATCAAGATTGATTCAAAAGATTTGACCAAACAAAAGCATTTATTATACTGGTATTAATTATATAGAGTACATCCCATATTACTAAATATTGACTCTTGTGAGCTTTAAGCCATATTATAATGTTACCTCATCAAAAACATACCTGGAAGTTGTGTTTTTCTTTCATTCACACATTTGAGTAATCCTTTATTATTTGTCTGTTTACATCTCTAAAGCTCAAGATGCTCTGTTCCACCTAGTGATGTCATGAAGCAGTAGTTTTAAAGTTAACAGCTACCTTTTACCTTTTGTTCAGTAGAGATTGGAAATTTCTGGAAGGGTATGGAGTTTTAAAACGCAGTGGAGCACTTCCTGTATTGCCACATGACATCATAAGGTGGAATGGTGTTTTCTGTTTGAGTTAAGAACTAAATATGCAGGGTTTTTGTGTTAAACATGTGAATGAAACAAAACACATCTCCAATATGGGGCATTTAACATGTTTAATTGTGCATTCTTAAACTGGAATCCCCATGACATTTTTTCCCCCTTCAAAATCAATATTCCAAATGTGTTAATAAAATATCCTTTCAATTACTTTGTTGCAGTTCTCCCCTGTGAATACACTGTCTGGCTGCTGTTGGCAGGCGCCCAGTTTCAAACGGCCTAGAACTCATTTAAGTTTTGTAAAAGACACTGAAAACAAACCGATTTATCAGCGCGGGTTAATAACCAGCTCTAATGTGTCAGCAGTGGGGGCTTTGTGTGTTGCTTGGGAACACCATCTGTCTGATTCTAATGTACCTCATATCATTAAGCCTCCTCCCCACGCTCTATCTTCTCCTTCTATTCCACTCTGTATTGGAATCGACAAAGTCTCAGAAAAGTCTTCTTTTCAGTAACAACCTGTACGCCAGGATTTAAGTGAGCTTGTTGTCTACATATTGTTGTAACTACATGGGTTAATAATAAACATTCTGATGTTAATGAAGAGAAAGCCACCATCTAAGTGCAGGCCTGTGCAGAAGACTTTTAGCTCAAGAAATGCACAGGAGTAGATTCTGCTGTTCTATTTTATATTTTTTTATTATTAAGGATTGTAGATCTTAATCATTACTCTTAATTGTAATACAATTAGTATGTAGACTGTAGAGCTGAGATTAAAGCAGCTAAAACAAAAACACTATTTTAATGTTCCTGTATGTTTTGAAAATATGCATTCTGAAAAGAATACTACTATTAGAAAGAATCACAGTTCTAATTGTAATAATAATGCTTGCATTTTTTTTATCATTTATTTATTTATTTATTATAAGATTAGCTTGTATATAAATAGGCAGATAATTGAAGAATATTTGCAATTCTCTTGTACGAGACGCTTCTCTCAAAGGATCGACTAAGTTGAGTAGTACGGGTGAAAAGGGCCCATTTGTTGATTTGCCATGGCACAGTGATTTATTTAGCACAAATATGACTGCAGCTTATTTTTACTTCTATAAACCTAACTTGCACATTTTTTTGCAGTTCTGTTAATACACAACCAGTTTTATTAGACTAGAGAAAGGCTATAATTCAGTAAATATAATTTGGTTGTGACAGGTGTTCAGAGGGCAGGCAGCTGTGTCCCAGGTGAAACATTAAGTGCTTCAAGTCAGCTGCTCTGAGCCCTATAGACTGTGACTGTCTCTTTCAGTCTGTGTTTAATGTGTAGTCCACTGCCTGGGGAAGCGCTCACATTGTGAATGACTCGTGAGCATCATTTGAGAGTGTCCCGTATGTATTCCTATGGATCAAAGTGAGCTGCATTGAACAGAGCTCCCAAATGACTGTAGTTTATAGCACGGGTCATGAAAAGTGCCTCAATTATTAACAGAAAGCTGTACATTAGTCAAAGCAAAATGTATATGAATTTAAATTACTGCTTTAAATGCTATAGGTACTGTAATTATTCAAGCAAACAGTCCTCTTGTTACTCATGGGTTTATGAATAGGTTATACTGTCCTCTAGACTATTTGTGCAGTCAGATATTCATCATGTTCAACGGTCTATACTAAGGACAATAGAATCAGATTTAGTTTGCATGGGTAGTTAGTGCAGTAGTCACAATTACAGCACATTATCTGGTCACATTATCTGGTCTTATGACTGTAATACACAACTTGAACTTTATGTATGCAACATGGTTGTCTGCCTCGGGCTGAATGATTAATTATACATGAAGTAACAAACTTCAATTTTATTTTTATTTAAAAAGAGAGAGAATACAAATTTATATTGGAATGTCTTGACATAACTTGCAAGAAGTTGCACACTTGCTAAACTCTTCAAATGCCCCTAGGACCAATGTGGTGCTCTCCTCCGATTTACTCCAGACCTTATTCCAAATAAATGAACTCCATGCTCAGTGATGTTGATGATTATGTGATAGAGAGTACCCCCCATCTGTCTGTTTATACAAATGTGTGCTGGAAATTGCATTTGCATTGCATTTGCTCAATAAATGCAAAAAGTAAATAAATAAAAAGAGATATGATATTACACAATATGCTATCATAACACCACGGGTCTTTACAGGGCTAATCAATATGCACTGTTTCTCTATCAGGGTACGCAAATTTGTTCTGTTGTACAGCTGAACTATTTTCACTTAAGTATACACTGCAGTTACACTCACTTATTGTAACATTAGCCATTCTTAACATGTGTTAAGAATGAATGCCACTCCTGAAGAGTCACTCAATTCAAAAATGTGCACAAACTGAAAACAGTTTTGTAAATGTATAATTTGAAACAACAAATGTTTTGTATAGTTTTTTTTTCACTGGGCATTGACAGATGACTCCACCTCTCCTGCGTGGGAACGATGTTTGTTTACTCTTTGACAGTCCTCGAGTTTATTGGGTTTTCTGCCGTCACATCCCATATCTTTACTTGGTGCAGAAGTGTTGCTCTGGCTTTGGAGGCTGTTTGCTGGTTGTTATTCCAGCGCTCTCTTCCCCACTCGCTGCGCCGGCACTCATTTGCCATGCCCTTTCATCCCTTCCTCTCACTATGCTCGGCTCCATTCGAGCTTTTGAAATCAGGGTTCCACTACTGTTCTATTCCCTTCAAACCTCCACAAAAGCTTGCCTTTGGCTTACATAGACAACACATGTACCTACAAAGAAGAGTAACTAAAGTGAATTCTCTCAACTGTAATTTTTATGCACAAATAGTGTACCAGTGATAAGATGAAAATGTACTTTCTTTGCACTCTGTGGTAAACTGATAAAGAAGCAATATTTAGACAGAGCAGTGAGGTTTGTTTCCTGAGATGCGTTCTTTGTAAATCTATCTTGTAAACTAAAACTAAGATACAAGTGGTGGATATAAAATACAAAAAAATGCTGAAAGCTTTAATGTTTAATCCCACCACAGGCAATACCTCCTTTTGTATCCCGCATTGCATTCATTCCCTCACTATAGAAATCTTGATATTCCAATAAGAATGCTCTGGTTTTTGGAATGGTAATAATAAAATGTGTATATAATTACCTCTTTGTTTTGTACAGGGCTCTTTAGTCATGTCCTCCTCGATGAAGCAGCCCAGGCAATGGAGTGTGAGACGATCATGCCTTTTGCTTTAGCTAACAAATCCACACGCATTGTGTTGGCTGGAGACCATATGCAGGTATGTGGTGGACCTATACGGACAACAAGCAGTTTTGCGTCTGGACCTTAGTTTAATTACTTTGAGACTTTTTCACCGAGACAGAACAGAACATCTGGCTGCACTCTGAATTGATAGTGTCAGTGTTGTTTCAAATGCGAAAGAGCAAACCGCATCCACTAAAACCACCGATAAGGCAAACTTGCTCTGTCACTCAAGCTTTTTCAGTCACAAGGATTAAAGCCTGAATTGTTTTCATCCGGACACTGCTCTGAATTGCCAATGAGTAGTTTAGATGAGAAAATGCCCATCTCTCCTTGCCTATGTGAAAAAAATAAGTGAAGAGTACAAATAATTTTCCTTAGTTATTTATTGAAGGAAAATATATACAGTATATAAATTAATATAATGGCTCAGTGTGTTTATAATAAAATAAAGGTTACAGCATTTAATTGCCTTTTCCTCCTCTTGCTTTTGTTTGCAGCTCAGCCCCTTTGTATACAGCGAGTTTGCTCGGGAGCGTAATCTACACGTGTCCCTGTTGGATCGGCTCTATGAGCATTACCCCCCTGAATTCCCCTGTCGCATCCTTCTGTGTGAAAACTACAGGTCCCATGAAGCCATTATCAAGTAAGTCTGAACTACCACTGTCACATGACTGTAGATAGGCTGGTCACAACAACAAATTTTGAAATACAGTATACAGTACAGTAAAATATAGACAATAAACAATGATATTGAAACTCATTTATGCCACTAACACAATCACCCTAAAGCAAGATTATCTTAAAAAACTATTATTTTCATATGGTTAAAAAACATTAACTGCATTAAATGAATAGCAAAATTAAAGCTTTAGTAGTTGGGTTGTGTCTGTAATTACTCATATAAGTTAATTATTCAACTATCTACAACTCAAATCTTATTGTAAAACAGAAAAATAACAAATATTGACCCACAAAAATTATAACAATATGTTATTATAGTATTTATCAAGGCAGGTGTCGACGCAATTGCTAGCAGTGCTCGTCTCAAGTGGCTCTCTTGTGAAGTCTTTCAGTGATGATTTAGCTTGCTGTCCCCCGTGTCTGGGTGGGTTTCCTTTGAGTTTCCCTTATCAACTTAAAACCTGCACAATAAACTAAATCTTAGAGCAAAGGTAGTCCTGACTCTAGCTCGAGCTCTCGAGCTGTGGGCACTGGAAATAAGGTGCCCACTAGGGATGCAAAGATATTCGATATATAATCAGATCGTTCGAAACTGGTGTCATGATTCGATACATGTGTTCGTTTGTTCATATACAGGTGTCCCTCTATTGGCGTTGTGTTGTAATTTATTTTGGTCTGAAAGAAAAACAGTTATTGCAATGTCCTCCTCAGAAACAGCAAGAAAACCGCTCCATAGGGACTTAGAGCTGAAATATACTAACAGAGGTGGATTTTGTCTTTGTCACTTTTTATTTTAAGTTCATGTGTATCGAGATATGTATCGAATCGTGGGAAAACTGTATGGTTGCATCCCTAGTGCCCACTCCTCTTGACAAGTTGTCCAACAGCACTGAAGGATGGGTCAAATGCAAAAGTCCTTCCTGGGTAGAGCATGACTGATTTGTTCACATTTTGTCTGTGTTTCCAGCTACACATCAGAATTATTTTATGATGGAAAGTTGATGGCAAGTGGGAAGCAGCCATCTCATAAGGACTTCTACCCACTGACATTTTTCACAGCCAGAGGAGAGGACGTACAGGAGAAAAACAGCACTGCATACTACAATAATGCAGAGGTATTGTGCATTTTATAGAGGGGTCCGGTCAAGCTGTAACGGAGGGAAACAGGGGCAGATTTTTTACATTCAAATAGCTCTTATTTAGAAACTAGAGGGACTATTGAAATAAGTAAGGTATCAGAATGTAGGAAAGAGTTAGCACTCTAATAGGGTAAAGTTAACCCTGTGATATTCTTTTAAGTTGTTGACAAAAAATTTTAAAACTCATGTCGGTAACAGAGGGAATGAAATGTGCAGCACTTTTTGGGCAATAAATATAAACAGCGATAACTAGCGGTTCTCACTTACATACCCTTAACAAACTGGTTTGAGTATTTGCTTAATATAGTTTTCTACCATATGGTACAAGATTAGGTTGAAAAACCTCTTACTTTTTGAGTAATGACATTTTTTATTAAGAAAGGTCATGGTAACGGAGGGAAAATTGTGCAAGCAAGTAGAAGGTGCATGATTTTGCATAATTTGTCAGCTTTTTTCTTCTGAATACTTTAATATTACTTCAAAATGAAAGGTAACAATTTCTATAAAATATGTCAGTCCTTCCAAGCAAATTTTTATCATTTTAAATCTTTTTTTTTTTTTTTTTTTTTTTTTTTTTTTAAATCATGTACCTTCATCAACAGTTCAAAGATCGAATAACACAAAATATGATGAAATACAGCCATTAATTTACATGATTTGCAGGTCTTTGAAATTTGGGAAATAATTTTTGTTCCATGTTTCATACATGGTATGTTTAAAACGTATGTAACTTTAGAACCAAAAATGGTACAGAAAAAAGGTAAACAGTTTCATAAACTAGAGTACATATGTATCTGTTGAATACATTTTTATATCAGATGCATTAACTTGAATTTTTGGCCTTGCTGTATACTTCTGCTTGACCGGGCCCAGAGACTTCTGTGAAAGTCTTTACTTCGATTTTTTCTTGCCAGTTTAATACGGGATTTTGATTTTTAAAATTGTGACTGGACAAATAAATAAAAATGTATTCTTTATTGATATCCCAGAATTTGTCTGCTACATATTTTTTATGTTTTGCTTTTGTCAGACATGTTCTGAGAGGTCCCATCTTTCACAGGAAGCATAGGTCTAGCTGAAGACTAAATTTATAGCCAACACTTGCACCTTTACAGAAATGGTTATTGTGGTGTTTAAGTAAATGTACTATTTTGCACAGTACTCCATTGTCCACTCTTTATATCATTCCCTGCAGGTTTTTGAAATTGTGGAGCGAGTGGAGGAGCTGAGAAAAAAGTGGCCTGTCGCATGGGGCAAGTTGGATGAGGGCAGTATCGGAGTGGTGTCGCCGTATGCTGATCAGGTGTTTCGAATCCGAGCTGAACTTCGAAAAAAGAGAATGCATGAAGTCAGCGTGGAAAGAGTTCTCAATGTTCAAGGTGAGAACCATTTAATGATTTTAATAACAAGTAAAGTGTAAACAATAGTGCTTAGATAAAAATCATGACCTAAATGTACAGTATGAAACTAGAACTAGAGCTAGAATGAGAGGGATTCAGCTTCTTACAGCAAGTTAACTGACGATTTAAAAAAAAATAAAAGTTTGAGAGTGAGTTTTTTTCTGACTTTGGTTTTATCCTCAAAACTCAGTTGTGTAAATTGGCATGTGCAGGTAAACAGTTCCGAGTGCTGTTCCTGAGCACAGTGCGGACCAGACACACCTGTAAGCACAAACAGACTGCTATCAAGAGGAAAGAGCAGCTCGTGGAGGACTCAACAGAGGATCTGGACTATGGTTTTCTTTCAAACTATAAGCTGCTGAATACAGCCATCACCAGAGCACAGTCTCTGGTCGCTGTAGTGGGAGACCCCATAGCATTGTGCTCTGTTGGCCGTTGCAGGTAAATAATAAGTCTTATTTTTTCACATGCGATTGTTATTCATCAATATCTTCCATGAAACATCCCAAGTGTCAGTTTTGTCAAAGTTGTTCTGATGACAAGCTTACCACTTTTTTATATAGAACTGTTAAAACAATTGGTTAGCCAATTGTATTGATCTACCTGATCTGTAGTAAACAAAATCAACATAGCAAATTGATAAATATTATTAACTAGAAAAGCACTCAGAGAGCGCAGACCTCCGCCAAGGACTACCCCCATTTTTTATATAAATTGCGATAAAATCAGTCTTCTGGATCAGATCCGGATCAGCCTTTGGAATATGAAAGAGAATCCCATTGTCCATCCCTGAGTCAAATTTCATGGGGTTTGGTCAATAATTAACCGAGATATTGAGAAACAAAATTTTTGGCCCCATTTACCACAATGTTAACTAAAATTTCAAAGTGATCCAAAATCCAGGATTTCTTCCGGATCACCCCCAAAATGAAATCAGTTCTTCCTTTTCACATTTCCAACAAATCCTGAAAATTTCATCAAAATCGGTCCATAACTTTTTGAGTTATGTTGCTAACAGACAAACAAACAAACAGACAGACAAACGCCGGCAAAAACATAACCTCCTTGGCGCAGGTAATTATTTAAGTATCTATGCATTAAATGAACTAGTAACCACTCATGGTGAGAGGAGGTGTCATATGACATGCTGAGATTCTGAATCCATAGATTCAGTCCATATGAAATCAGCAGTTTTCAAGGAATCTCCCCTATGAGCTATCTCAGATTTGGCTGAAAAAAATTCTAAAATTACCAAATGAAAGAATCTAAAAGTTTAACTCAATCCCTTCAGTTGTTCCTGAGTTTTGGCCCATTGAAATTTTGGGGCCATGCCCACTTTTTCGGAAGTCTTAATTTATAAGCATGTTTGAGAGACCATAACTTCATAAAAAAATAGAGCTAGGAAGATAAAAAAAAAATAGAATTGTAGATTCTTGCTCATAGATTCTAAATCACATATTGGATATCTTTATAAAGGGGGACCAAAATTTGAGCCAGAAAGCTCAAATTTGGTCTGTGTCCATATTTGGGACTCTACACCATCCACATGAAAGCTAAGAATAGATTGCTGTCATGATCATTCTCTCAAATATTCAGGTTCAACAGTTAGTTTGTAAATATTTGCTTGGAGTAAGTAGATCTTGGACCTCAAAAAAAATAATAATATTAATAATTTGAGCGGCAACCAAATTTGAGATTTGGGGGCCCACAGCACCCCCCGAAAGTTAACCAATATTTGACAACAGATTTAGAATCTATGACCAAGAATCTACAATTATATAATGTTTTATTTTCCTAGCTCTATTTATTATGAAGTCATGGTCTCTCAAACATGCTTATATATTAAGGCTTCTGAAAAACTGGGCATGGCCCCAAAATTCCATATAAATGGGCCATAAATCAGGAACGACTGAAGGGATTGAGCTAAATATTTAGATCCTTTCATTTGGTAATTTCAGAATTTTTTTGAAATTTTTTCAGCCAAATCTGAGATGGTTCATAGGGGAGGGCGGCTGATTTCATATTGACTGACCCTAATACAATACTGCATCCGTGGAGCATACAAGTATAAAAATGTACATTGTTCATGGATCTATTGCAGAAAGTTCTGGGAGCACTTCATTTCCATCTGTCATCATAACTCCAGTCTCCACGGCATCACCTTTGAGCAGATCAAGGCTCAGCTGGAGGCTCTAGAGCTGAAGAAGACTTACGTCCTTAACCCACTTGCCCCTGAGTTCATCCCCCGTGCTCTGAGACCTCTGCAGGGGCACCACTCTGCCCCGCAGCCTCTCCACCCACACCACCACCACACTCTGCCTGTGTCCAACAAGCAGCAAATGCAGTCACAGCAGTCGCCTCCTAAGGTAACACATGTGCAAGGATAACTACTTAGCAATCTTCAATAGATATAGTAATACAATTAATTATCTTTGAAAGACCATTACACATTTTCTTATTTCACATAGCTTTGGCTGATTGTTTTATCGGCCAGAGCGGGTTGGGGAAAGGTGGTTGTTTTGTTTTGCTGTTGTGATGTCTTCATGTGCTGTCTGTCCTCACTGTCTCGCCCGAGGTAAAGGTTAACGAAATCACCACAGCTGCCAGCCTGCTGCCATCCCCCACCGGCTTTAATGAGGAGCTCAGCTCCAGTCCACTCTCCAGACACTTTTCCCTTTACTATCTCAACCACATAACACAAATACGCAGTACACATTAAATCTGTCTGCATTTTTTGTTTTCAAAGTTGTATTTGTTTCTCTAATTATATTTAAAATCTGAAATATTACATTTTTCCACCTAAATAAGTGTTGGTCTGATAGCTGTTGTGACATATGTGGGGCGATCATGTCTCAGTATACAGTATATCAATATGGCTCTATTTAGGCAGGGCATTCCCACTGTTGCTTACAATTACTGCTTTCCTCACACATTTTCTTTCTTTACAGGGAAAGCATTCAAATCATTCAGACCATCTTCCACCTGATGGATATGGTAAGTGAAATAAATTTTTTTTAAAAAGCAGAAGAAACAGTTTATCTTCATATATTGGTATAAACCAGTCAAATGTAATGGACCTGGGTGCCCAGGGATGTTTGATTAGTGTGCCATTTTAATGCACTAAACTGTACCTTAGCTTAATTTTATGGAAAAAAGTGAGTTGCAGTGTTTTATTTGACAGTTCTTCTTCTTACTGCAGTTCAACCCAATCCAGCCGTGCTCATGGGAAACCCTATTAGAGCATTTACACCACCTTTGGGTGCCACACAGACTGGTATTGGCAAGTCCCCCAGTCCAGTGCAGAGGATAGACCCTCACACAGGAGCTAGCATTCTTTATGTCCCAGCTGTGTATGGAGGGATCATGCCAATGCCTCTCCCTGTGAGTTATGTCTTATATTTTATATCATTATCTGAAGATTATTGTTGCTAAAACTCGGTTTTACTATTTTTTGAAGTTGCCATGGCCAAGCTATCAGAACCGCTTTGCCGTGGACCCTCGCATCATGAACCACCCAGCAGCCATGCATGCCTACAACTTAAACCTTTTGCAAGCTCCAAACAGAGGCTCTCCCATCCCATACCCAGGGGTAGCCCACCCCTCTCCTTTGGGGATCAGTCAGCCCAGCCCAGACAAAGAAATACAGGCTGAACCTATCAGAAATGGTTTGTCAAAACATAAGTGCAATATGGGGCAATGACTTGAGAAGTTTGTTTGGTTTACAATGAAGTTTGTGATTTTTGTCTTTACTTTATAGGCAAATTGGATAACTGTCCAAAGTCGGAACAAAATCGTCTTCATACACCAGAACGAAAAAACATTGACATGAAGGACAAACAGGCAAGTACTTGCATCAAAATAATAAAAATGTTTAAACACAGACATGTTAGCTAAGTCACTATATTTTGTTGCCATTCCATTTCAGGGGGAATTAGAGGTTAGCCCAAATCGGAGCTTAGATTCCCAAACAGACAACCTTGGATTTCACAATGCAATGGTTCAAAGAAAAGACTCTTCCACTGCCCAAAGGAATATGAACTACCATTTAGCCCCGCCCAATGCTGGCTTTGCCTCTCATTCCACCAGCGGGCGACCTTTCCCCCCACAGTATCTGACCAGGCTTCCTTACAGGATGCAGCACCCACCACAACAGCAGCTCAGTCCTGCATACCCCAGTAATAACCACACTGCATCATTCTTCAGTGGGCCCATGGGTGCTCACAGGGCTGTTCACTCCCCCACTGCAGACGGGACAGAGTCTGCAGGTACAGAAGATGCTCCCATTAGGACTTCAATGGGGTCTGCTGGAGGCCATCATCCAGGCCTGTCCCACACCCACAGGGTCAGCAGTTTTGGCGAGGACGGTCAGGATGGAGAGAATGCGGGTGAGTTTGGAGATGTTCTTTTTGCTGAATTAGTCCGATAGTGGGTCATGGGGAAGAACTCAGATCCCACTGTAACCAGTTCATACTGTCTTCTTGAGGAAAACACCCACCTTGCCTTTCATAAATAATTCTTCTGTTTCCTGCCTCCCCAGATCTCCAGACTCCCATCTCTCTGGAGGCACTGAACCAGCAACAGCAGCAGGCAGCGCGGCTGGGCCAGTGGAGCGAGGCAGCAGGAGCTCTCCTCCAAGGCCCCGTGGCCTTCCCCATGCCCCAGCCCCTCCCACACCTCCCTCAGCCCGCTTTAGCGCGCCTCCCCCCTCACCTACTCCGCACTGCCGGATGGGGCATTAGTGCCAACACAGAGGAGGAGGCAGTTCCTTCTGCCACCACTGGGCCACCTTTCAACAGGTGAGAGACATTCTCCTCACAGTAAATTCATATTTGTACATAACATCTGCGGTAGTTTTCTCTGAGCAGGTTCTGATATTCTGGGTGATGTTGTGTGTCCAGGTATCCAGGCCTGTTGAGAGAGATGCCTCCACAAGAGCAGCCTGACTCCAGGGACGTGTCAGAGCTGCAGCCCCCTCCTCAGTCGCGGCTGCTGCAGTATAGACAGTCCCGGGCCTCTGCCGACCCCTCCACCCACCTGACCCCGGCCTCCAACCACGTGAACTTGTTTCCCTCAGGAGCCTATGCCCATGATGCCGGCCGCGCCCCCCTCACGGACCCTGTCTTAAGCAACCCGCTGCAGCAGCAGCAGGTTAATCATCTCTTCAACAGTGAAGGATTTCCTCCTCAGTCCCAAACATCTGATTCCCCACCCGCCCATGTCAAATACCTGATGCAGGATCCTCAGTGGCCCATGGGTGCAGCTGCTGCCACCAGCCCTCAACAGCACAATAGCATTCTGGGTAACCAAGGCCACAGACTTCCCTATGGACTGCCCATGATGGCACACGCCAGCAGACAGGAGCAGATTCATCTGATGCAACTCCAGCAGCAGCAGCAGCAGCAGCAGCAGCAGCAGCAGCAGCAGCAGCAGAGCCAGAGCCCAGAGCAGGAGTCCTACCACTCACTGTCCCCCCGGACATCAGCACCCACGGCCCTGCACAGTGTAGATGAGGTGAGCTTTTTTCCCCCACATACTCTCAAAGATGATCAGGTTACAAAATCAGAAGGGAAAAAAGTGCTTAGGGTTACAGCTTTGTTGGCTTTTGACTTTTGCTTGAATTCATGTCCACATTTTGCTGTTGTTAGAAAGGTTCCATTCATACTTTTGTTGTTTACTTTCATCCACAGTTTGAGCCTCGAGGTCCAGGTCGGCCTCTCTATCAGCGCCGGATCTCCTCAAGTTACCCAGAAGACACCACTCAGCCACCGCAGCCCTGTGTTCCTGGCTCCCATGTCCCGCACCTACCGCACCCACATGGCCCCCACCCGTTCCCCTCTCACAAGCCCTGGCCAGCCAATGGAGGTGGTCCCAGCCCCTACCAGAATGTTCCCTGTAATGGAGCTGGAACACATAGAGACCTTTTAGGTTTGTGTTGTGTTGTGTTTGCAGTTGAAAGTATACTAATAATTAAATAAGTTTGCTGAGCATAACTCCAATCTTTTTTTTTTTTGTGTTTCTGCCCCACAGTGTCCAAAGGGCATCGTCCCAGTGAGGAGCAGATGAACGCAGAGGCAGCAGCTCAGACACACCTCCAGCACCTTGGACAGTTCCCTCCCCTTATGCCCAATAACAAAGCTCCACCTCCCCAGGCTCCCATAGAATCAGGTCCTCATCCACACAAACCCCCCCTAGGTGAGCCGGGCCAGGTTCCTCTCCTGAGCAAACCCCCAACCATGTCGTACGCCAGTGCCCTGCGCGCCCCGCCTAAACCCAGAGCGGCCCGGCCCGAGCTGAAGAAGAACAGTGACCCTCTGTCTCTACTGCAGGAGCTCAGTATAAGAGGCTCCAATAGTAGCAATGGGTACTACTCATACTTCCCCATGTCAGAGTGTCACCTCCCCCCACCAAACAAATAAGTGTGAAAAATAGATATAAAAATTGAAAAAATGTTTCTTTTAAAAACAACAAAAACAGCATATTTCTAAACATACAAAATAGTGCATTTATATTTTTTTCTGTAGTTCTGATTTATAATTTTAGTTGCTTTTTTGTATTTGTCATCCTTCACATATCTGTAACAATTAAAAAAGTATATAAAATGAATGCATTACTAGTATATATATACATATATATTATGTATATATGAATATATACTTATTATATTACCTACACTTGTATATGTATGTAATGAAAATATAAAAAGGAAAAAATATAGATATATATAAAAACTTAAAAAAAAAAACGAAAAAGGAAAAGTGAAAAAAAAAAGAAAAAAGAAAATGGTCAAAAGTTGGTTGGCCACTTCGCCTTCCACATCCTCCTCACTCAAGTTGATTCGTTTGCTTCTATAGATGAACTTTTCTTTACATTTGAGTGGATGTCTTTTTTCATAATACTGTAGCTGTGGAAACAGGCTAAAGCTAAGTCGGTAACCGACACTGAAACTAGACAGGACCTTGTAAAGTCATCGAGTAAATTTCCTCTAATCTGTACATACTAGAAAATAATGACTGAATGGTATTGCTATAGACATCTCCAAAACCTTTATCATGCTAGGGCTATGCTCAATGGTTGCTTTTTATTGTTTGCTTTGAATTCTTCAAAACAACCATAATTAAATTGTTCTAATTTTAAAATAATAAAAAAAACATACATTTTCTGATTCACTTTCTAATACAATAGATTTTAAATTATTGGCAGTTTATATCTGTTGTGACAGTCAATGGATCAAGACAGTCCTCAAAGCTGACGTGGCCTCTGTACCTGCTGGGCAAATGAAATGTTAAGTGTTTGTTGATAATATTTTTAAAGAGCGTACACTGAAAGTCTGAGAAAGTTGAGTTGTGTTGGTGGTTTGGAATTTACACTGCCAGTCTTGTGTTTGAAGAAATGTTATCTTTTTTGGTCAAATCTTCAACTGCATTGCAACATTACTCCCCAAATATACAAACAAATTGTAGATAGATGCTTCTAAGATAACTTCCTCAATAGTCATTTTGCATTCTAGTTGTAGAGCAGAATGACAGATCAGCTGTGACCTGAGCTGCTGTGACTTTGCACACCGCCACTATGGTCCAAACTGAGCAACACTGTTTTTGGAGGTAGGGGAAATCAGAGGAAACCTACGCAGACACAGGAAGAACATGCAAACTCCACCTACAAAGGCTTGTTCAGGAATCGATCCCAGAACTTGACAGGCAAGAGTGCTAACTACACCGCACCCCTCAATATACAGAAAAAATGTTAATTTTGCAGCAGTTGACATTTGACTAAAAGAGTTCTGTTTTAAACAAACAGGTCAGATTTGTGCTGAAAAAAGGAAAGGTAATGTCACTTAAATGGTGTAATGGTGTGTGTTAACAATGGGTGCGTATTGTCAAATTATTTTGAGGATCATAAATCAAAAGTCCATTGACGATTTTTAATCCTTCAAATTATCTAAATGTTTAACACAGTTGTTGAGGCATAGCTTAATCCAGATTTAGGACTTGGCAGAAAACAACACCTTGTACATATGCATTTTCTAGACAACCTGAACTTTGGGAGCACCTCCATTTTGTAGAAAATGTTTGAAAGCGATGGGGCGAAGCCCCTTTTTAATTATGCAAATTAAGAAAAAATAATAATTCTAGAAGTGGACTGTACCCACACCTGTGTTTTTAAACGGCGTCTGGAGGAGACTTTCTGTTGCACCTGTATGAGTTCCTTCACTGTACAATAGTTATATTTAGCTATCTTTATGAATTTGTCTTGTTTTGTTTTTGTCTGAAGTTCACTGCTATGAAACAATCAGTTCTTTTCTTTTAAACGTTTTTTTCATGCATGTGGAAAATGGCTGGTTTTAAGTTGTTTTATCAGTTTGTATTAATTTGAAAGAAAAGATATTTAGAAAAAAAAAACACTTTGATTTAACAGAGTCAAATCTTTTAGTATATTATTATGTATAAAATCTGTGACATTATCAGCAAAACTACTATAATATTTTACAAATATGTAGAGTGTATGTACTTGTCTGTATAAGTTCTTTCATTTTTGTCATGCAGCGGTAAGGCTGGGGTTTCTTCCTGATGTTTTGCAAGTATCACAAAAGCGTGTCATTGGCTAATTTCTGAAGTTGTGCAATACTAATAATACATTGCTTCTTTGTATTTATTTTAGAAGCAGAAGAGATTGAGCCAAAGACATTTTAAAGGGATTTTTCTCAACTGCATTTGTACTTTCAGACAGGAGCTGGTGAACTTCAGTTGCCTTTTTAAAAGTTGATGGGAGAAACCTCTGGCAATTAGGGAGCGCACAGCATTCTGGCCACATTTGTCCAACTCTCTTTTCTATTCTTGCCTCTTCTGTTGCAGTAAACTAGCCCACTTTCTCTGAATCCTCATCATTGGGTGAAAACATCTTTCAATCAGTGGTGGTTATAATAAAGGATTTACTCTGTGTTTCAAAAAGATATTTTTTTTTCTTTTTTATTGTTTCTTTATTAAAGTGTTTTTATTGAAAATTGCCTCAGTCTTTTTCATTAAACCCCATTGCCATTTGTATTGATGAATTGAAGCATGCTCAAAACATCAGCCTTCAGCACTCTCGAAGGAATTGTTTATTTTCAAAGTAACACTTTTATTACAAATTCATAGCACAAACCAACACACCAAAGCTATTACAGTCATAATGTCCTATTAACTAGAAAAACCTGATGGTAGTCAGTGAACTCAAGTACTGGTAAATTGTTCATAGTTCTAAGTCACTGACTTATTTAAAGTCTGGATATAATTAACACTGGGAAATGAATGGGAGATGCAGGTTTTAAAATTGAAAACATATATAAACAACCTGAATGTAGGTCAGTGTTGTGCACTGTTTTAAAAAAAATATGTTAGAAGATTTATTGTAAAAATCTAGCTTTTTCTTTGTAAATAGAAAGCAAAGGGCAAATGTCAATAGTTTAAATGGAAGATAAATAATGTTCCAACTTCAAATTATGGTGAACTTAGCCTTTAGAAAAACTTGATAATGAAATAAAATAAGCTGGACCAAGATTCTATAGAGTTGGAAAGACTATTTTATCTGCTTAGTGTGAGGTACAAATGTCAGTAGTCTATAGCGTTCTGATGGACAAATTTATCATATAAGATGTAGTAAACCTCCCACCCCACATCACTGTTTGGCAGTTTAACATTCAGTTTTACCATTCGTTAATGTGTTTTCTTCAGAGTTATAGTCATAGCATACAAAATATGTACAGTTTGATATATTATACAGTACTCCTTATTTAGTAAAATAATAACAAAAATGCATTTGTCCTTTGATGGTATAGGCAGCTGGTTAAACCCCTCATATCCCAAAGAATTTCAGTGGGAGTCTCAAGGGCATTCTTATATCTTAAATATCTCATAAATCACTCCACTTGTTCGGGCTCAGCGTCCATGCAGGTTTCCCAGGGATTGCGGGGCATTTGAGGCATGGAGAGGATGAGGAGGGCTATCCCAGTGAGGAAGAGGAGGACAAAGCCAGAGCATGCGCAGGCGAAGGACCAGCCATAGTGGTACTCCATCCAAATGGTCTCCTCACTCTCGATCATGCGTTTGACCGACTGTCTCATCACCTCCAGGGAGATGAACGCACACAGACCTGAGAGAAAAACAATACACCGAGGTGAGCAAAATCGCATTTGTTAAGGTGCATTGTGTAACTTTTTAGGCAGATGGTCTCCATGGAGATAACATTGTTTTGCCATAATATCTCCATCACTATTCCACAGTTTGATATTTTACATATCTGTCTCCACAGTCAAGCAGGTGACACCCCCAGGTCAGATCAGAGCGAGGTAACCTCACTCCAAATAATACTGTATGTTTTAAACAGTTTTTGAGTAAGAAAAACAACTGTACTTCTATAAATGCATAGATGATTTTAATGTCATGCAGTGGAATTTTCCTGCCAAAACATGCCAAAATAACATGGTCAACAATCCCTCTTGAAAATTGAGCCATTAAGTCTTAAGAAACTAAGCTGTATAGATAGATAAATAAATAAATAAATAAATAAAATCTCCATGGAGATATGGTGCACTTTCAACCTGCAAATGTTATGGTCATCATAGTAAGATAATGAACCCACTGCAATTTCACTTAAATGCAATTTACATAACAATTTGATTTATTAATCTGCCATTTTGGGGAGCCTTAAATTATTACAATTATGAAACCCAAAGTCAGATTCAATGCATATAAAAATTTGGACCACTATTTTTTTTTTCTTCTGAATGTTTTAGGGGATGGTGTGCTGTGGACTTTCATCAGCAACTAGTGTACCATCAGAAATTTTTTGAAAACCACTGCTCTTTCACATAACCTTGTTGTGTCTTTGGGCAAAACACTTCACTCACATTGCCTCTCTAGTATGTACACAAGTAAATGAGTGTAGTGCTACATGAGTTTAGTAAGTTCATTGCTGTAGTGTGTTTACATGTCTCATGCTCTGTCATGATGAATAAACAATATTAGACAGCCCATATGTAGTTTAAATATTAGAATTTATGTGCAGTTTTATTGTTTTCTTTTTGGAATTTACTTACGAAAGCAAAAACATATGGAAATAAATTACTGAAACATACATTTTGTCTTTCTTCCCCATTGTCACGTTGATATAAATTGTACATTCTGTACATACCTGCAAATGCATAAAACATGCCAGCAGGTTTAAGGAGGTAGTCCCGCTTTTTCTGACCCGTGCATGAGCATATCAAAGCCAGGGAGCCCAGGATCATGAAGGCCAGACTGAAGATGGAAATGGCTGCAGCCGAGATGTTATACTCTGGAAAAAAAAAAAAAAGCAGTAATTCATATTTTAAAAATACACTGAAAAAGGTGTGCCAGTCTAGACCAAAGCACTGTTATAAATATAATAGTTATGCTGTAGGACCATATTAAACTTTGACGGTTACTGTCTCTGTCTACACTGGAAAGTGCAACCTATTATTAAAACCCCTATTATTAAAACAGTATCATTTAGACCATGACTGGAAACATGACTTTCAAAGCAGGTGCAGATAAAGTTCATACTTTGAAAGCCTGTAGTGGCTGTAGTTGATTTTCATGGCATGTAAAAGTATTGCAGCTGAATGGAGAGAGGCATTTGATGTGCCGCCTGTGATGTGCCCCGGGGGGAGAGCTGTCCTCGGAGGGACCAGGGGAGGTGGGCTACAGAGATACTGCTATGTATAGAGCACCAGTTTGAGCTGAAGTTTTTATGAAACAGTCTAGTGCTTCAATAACATAGACATACCATAAGTAAACCATAGAGCATACGTAACATCACAATTCTTTTGTAATTATATTAAAGGTCTAGGTTTTCTGGAAATGGGTTCACCGCTTGCTTGTCTCCATAAAACTGCTATTCCTTTGCCTGCAATATTTTGTTTTTATAAACTTAAAAATACTTCGAAAAACTGAAAACTGTTTTAATATGGGGTTAGCGCTCGACATACTGTATCAGATCTGTAACTTCTTCTTTTTGCCATAGTGTGGAACAATATCGACAAAGCAAATGGAGACAGAAAATACCAGAATATTATAATGCACATTTTTTTGTAATATTGACTCCCTGATTGCTCATTGGCATCTTCTGATCTGTTCATTCAATAATGACTTTTACATTTTTAGAAATTCTGAGTGCTGATGGATCTTTTAATAGTTTTTTTTTTTAATATATATATGCACTTGATTATTCCTCTGCTCCCTGTGGCAGCCACCAGAGTGTGGTAAATATAGAAAGACATGCCCATAGTGATAAACATACAGCGTGTTTATTCAACCTCATGCGCCATTATGGTACAGCCAAACAGTGCATGGCTGAATTATAGTGCTGGAAGCCTCAGCTCTAACCAACTGCCAGTGCACCTCCTGAAGGCTGGCCATTTACTCTATTACTCTGAGAAATAGGGAGGGGGGCAGGGGGAGGAGCCCATTGAACCCTGGTATTAGGAGGAGATGCTGGAGGTGTGATCTGCAGTGACACTCCTCCACATGTCTGTGTCTCTAATACAACATGCAGAGACTGAACAGGGTCATACAGTGGGACATGGAAGCACTGGGGGCTGGGGGTTTAGTGCACAGAAAACATTTAATGCTGTACTATAGTGCGTGCTTTAAATAATGAAGAGAATGGTGGGGAATGGTGAACTTTGACCAAAGAAAAATGTGTTTATTTATTTGAGACAGGGACAGCGCACAATTTTTGCATTTTACCTTAACAGGAGAGATGCATTGTACATCAGGTTGTAGCATCAGTGCTAATTTCCACCTGTAGTCCCTGGACAGATTCATTGATTGATTGTATTTAACTGACCTTGACTATCAACTGTTCTGGAGACCTATGTAGCATGTTTTGGGTTGATGGGGGAAACCCATCCAGACATGGGGAGAAAAATGCAAACTCCACACAGAAAGGCCCAGGTGACCCGGGGATCAAACCCAGAACCTTCTTGCTGTGAGGCATGAGTGTTAGCCACTCAGCCACCGTGCCGAACACAGACAATAGCATTAGTAGGTGTATGTGTACTGTATTTAATATAAAATGCTTTTTTTTAATGAATATTTTTCCATGATTGGTTGGCCACAATTAATGAATTAAAGAAAGTTATTTTCCTAATTCTTAGGGAATTCTAAGTAAGTAAGTAAGTAAGTAAGTAAGTTTCTTATGTGTTACTTTGAGACTCTTTACTGATGGCTAAACAAAAAACATGATTTCTTCAATTCAGTACATACCTTTTTGTGTTTTGTATTCAAATATCTCTGCATCCTGTCCTGGGGTGAAGTGTCCAAAGTATGTGCAATTCTCCTCTGGAAAAGACACAAAATTGATTTGTTACTTTTTTTTTTTTTTTTTTACAAACACAGTTTACGAGGGATCCATTAGTATAGATTATGATTAAACAGAAACATGAGCACAGTGAATTTGAGCCTTGATATAAAAAGACAAATCTGTGGGACTGAGAGCTGACACTTGATATACTCTGGATAATGTTTATGTCTGGTTCTGGTTGTGCTGTGTCACTGCCAAAGTCAGAATATGGCAGCTGCAGACCTCACAGTCACTTTAAATATAAAAGAAAGTGTCAAAAGGCCTGAGGAGATGTGAAATGCCACTGCAGCTTTTTGTGCTCAGAGATTTTGACAGTAAATACTTTCTCACAGACACAAGAGTGACATAATCTTCAACATAATCATAAACAAATTTTTGTACCTAACTGACTGACTGACCCAAATGAAGACAAACTAAAGCATTTACAAGTAATCATTTTCATTATTAAAATGAACTTTGACACCTTTTTCAGTGTGGTGTCTGCAGGAATGAGTGATGTTTGATGGGGGTCTTCTGGTCTTGTTTGTCTCAGAGTATCAGTGGCTAAAGAAGCTTGTTTTTTGTTTTTTTTTGTGTGGCTAAAGTAGCTTGTCACTTCTGGAATGAATGAATAACTTACTTAATATTGATACTGGTTTATTTGGAAAAACACCATATAAAACTAACATTATTTTATCATTAATGATATTCAGAAACATCTCTTTATTTGCTGCTATGTGCAGAGACAGATTGTAACTATACTTATGTAAGGTGTTGTAGAGTGTGTTTGACAAGACTCAATTAGTTTCACTTTGTTGCTTCAACCTTTGTTTAACATCTGACCACAAAGCCTTCTTCAGATGCCTGTAAAGTTGTTGCTAACATGAAGAATGTGACACCGCACGCTATGTTCATCTAAAGACTGGTGTGTGTCATTGATCTGGAGCTCCTGTTTCCCACACACTCTGTATGCTGTGTGTCCACAGACTCACACAGGGACTGGGGGCTTTCATGTGGAAATGTGGGATTCTGCACATTATCATGTCTCACCACCGTTGTGTTAGAGCTCAATGACCCACGCTGTATGTGCTCCTACATGTGTCTACTATGTTTAATGGGACCTTTGAAATAGGCTTAAAGACATGTCTAGTGACTTATGTTACTGCCATTTGGCTTATAGAACAGGTAATGTGAAGAACTTCCAAACCAAAATCTTTGTTGTTGTTTTTTTCTTTTAGTTTAATAGTTTTACTAGCCTTACACTGTATTAGATTTATAGCAAATTTCCAGATGCTTGGTCTCCATACTTCTATATAGGCAGTAGGCGAGTGACAGAAGTCCAGCTGCCAGTCTGTGCCTATGGCCTCTCAGACTACCACCAATAACTCACACGCATGCATTCATACATACACAAAGCAAGAGAAGTGTTTTACCAAGGGACACAATGGCATGCACTGGTTGGAGTAGGATTCAAACCATGAAAGGCTATAACCACTGAGCCAATGGCATTGCATATTTTTCCAAAACTGTACACTGCCTGCACCCACATGCAGTATAGGCCTATTTGTAAGATTAGAAAATATTGGCTAATCAGCCAGTCCGTTGTACATTCAGAAGAGTCTGGAACTGGACCAGAGAGCGTGAAAAACCTCTGCCCAAACTTGAGACGGTCCAACCACAGCTGCTAATTTGTAGCTCATGTCTCTCAAATGCGAAAGACATCTCCTCTTGAAAATTCTTGTAACATTTAGAACAAAATATAGGCTGTCCTTTTACCTGAAATAATTAGTATTTCGGTTCTTTTGTCTGCTGATGGCCAGATAATAGAAAATGGGGTCTCGTATTTAAAGTGCACTATGTAACTTTTCTGGTGGAGGGTCTGTTATTTGCTTGTCTCATAAAGATTTCTTTTCCCATAGAAATAAAACAAACATCTGACTGGAAAGAATAAAGTTCTAGACCCACCACCTAAAACAGAGAGCCCCATAAAAAGAAATAGTATAATTTATTAAGTAATGGGCTCTTCTGGGAAAATATCTCAAATTGTTTTGCCTTTATGGTAAAAATGAGACTACTATCACCCGCAAACGAGAAAGTGCAATGTTAGCATGCTAGTTGTTGTTATCATTCCTGGTACCTCTGCTAACTTTAACATGAACTAGTTCTGTTTTCACGTTTTGAAAACAGCACAAATCAGGTACAGTGCCTCAAAGGGCTAATTAAAGTATAGCATAGACAGTAACATTGTGCACATTGTGTGTGACCATGGTGACCAGGCCTCTCATATACAACACATGTAAAAAGATCACACAAGGACAGTGGATTAACACCTGCTCTGCTTCTTGTCTATGCTCACTGTCTCCTGTCAGCCTGAGTTTGGTGATTGTGCGTTAAATTAATCTGGGGGTCAAAATAATGACTGTCACGGCACATTCAGATGATTTGACAGGTGAAGATGTGTTTATGAACTCCTCCATAGTCTATTTTATCTGCAAATTTTATGGCCAGGATTACACTGAAATAACTTGAAAGCTGTAGTATAACTTTTAGCTTAACACCAGTTGTGGTTGTGACAGTTGTGACCCCGGATGTTAAAGTTCACTCTACAGCTTGTGCCCTATAAAAATATCATTGGTATTTCCTCTGTATAATCCTATAGCTCACTGCCCTTTCCTAATTTGGTATGGTGCACATAGGCTTTTTGCTGTATTTTGTCCCTTGAAATACAAGTGTGAAGTAATTGGAGGAGGGGTCCATGTTGTCTGGTGAAGGTTGTGAGCCAGTGAGCAACTCGGGGGAACAGTTTGTGTGAACAGAGAGACCCACAAATATGTCTGACGTCTGCACACGGTCCTGTCACTCAAAACTACTTCGGACTTCAACATATGACTGTAAGGCAGCTGAGTATTTACACCACTTGTATTTATATCTAAAGCAACTGCTTTCAGCTGGCTTGTAATAAAACTATAAGTTTCTCTTTTTAGTATGCTATATTGTGACACTGTCTTAGCAGGATTAAAATGGCCACAAATCTGTTAATCTTACTTTCAAGACTATTTGTGTGTATTTCATTACAGACTGCCACAGAGTTTGATCATCATTGCCAGCATTGCTATGCATTATTTCACAATGTGTCCTGATACCATCTCACAGTGTCATATTTTCCACAGGGTCCAGAGCGTGTTTGGGATCTGCTTTATATTGAAATCTGACACACACACAGCTTGGCGGGCCTATGGTTTGAATAAACACTCCAAATAAAGGAATTGTCCAGAGACAAAGATGAGCCAGTGGATCTTCAGTCCAAGTGTCTGATACCTTTTACAACATTTGCTATAGCAGGACTTGTGAAAGCTCTTTTTAAACCCTCAGTGATGAACATGGTCCGATCATAATAACCATTAGGGCCAGGAGAAAGGAGGGCCAAGGAAAGTGACATGATTAGAACATATCTCTCACTACAGTTGGCGGCTTGCCCCACATGCCCCTGTGGGCCAGGGCAAATTCTGCATACTCGGCACATGTCTGCCGCGCCCACACAAATGAGTCAGGAACTCAGCTGCTCTGGGAACAGTCACTGACAGGATTCCCCAAAGGCTAACAGCATCTAAAGAGCCACGCCCCCTTCAGACAAGAGGGAGGACCTACTCTGTATCTGATCACTGGTAAACTTTAACCTCAGTTTTATAAGTCTTGTTCTCTTTCACAGTGGTGTTTGATAGTTGACACACATCACATGATCTGGTCAGGCTCTGTGCAAAGTTCATGTCTCTCATGTGTGTGAGTGTGCAGTACTTTGTCACAGTGTTTATTCTTCCTGTGGGCGCTCACATGACGCATGCATGTCAGCTTTGCCATGCTTCTACATGTTGTCTCAAGTCTTTTATAGTTTGTATGTTTGTTATTTTGCCTGCTGCTCAGTAGACCTGTGTATTGCAAAGTACCCCACGATATGATACATATCCCGATACTTGTACCTTGTTACGATATGCGTACCACCACAATACACATCTCTGTATTGATCCATGTATTGCCAAGAACCTCACAATGATATTTTGCTATATTGATATTTTGAGTAAAGCCCCACTGCTCAAAACTTTTATTGGGTTGAACATGTTGTGCTTTATAAATAAAGTTGGATTTGACTGGAGTGTGGTATGAGTGTGAGGATCAGGTAAACATCATCTAATAACCATTTGACCAGTGAACCTGACAACACTCCTTATAGGTGCACTTCTCACATTTGCTTTTCTCACAGAATGTAGCCACCATTGTACACATTAAGTATTAAAACTGAATCTAATGTTTACATTAATACTGAGGAGTTAGTATTTGTATATCCAACTGACGACTAATACAGAGACCTATAACGCAGTGACTTCACATGAGCAAATCAGTTCAAAGCCATGTTCATAGTGTGTTTATTGAGCAGTGGGAGTTGGAATTTCTAAAACTATTTAGATCTTCTAGATCTTTAAAGAGAGAATCCTTGCATAGAAACATTTTCATTGGAGTCACACATTCTCGGTCTGATTGTGTTTGGCTTAGTGGTTTGACCCTGTCACCCCAAAGAAGACAATGATAACCAGGCCACAAAATTAACATTTCTGGCACACATACATGTTTGAACAATAATGGAAATATGTGTAGCAACATAAACATCCTCACAGTAACTAATGTACTCATTACACACATTTTTCTATATACTATAAAATGTGCGCGCGTGTGTGTGTGTGTGTGTATATATATATATATATATATATATATATATATATATATATATATATATATATATATAGTACATAGAGAGAGAGAGAGAGAGAGAGAGAGAGAGAGAGAGAGAGAGAGAGAGAGAGAGAGAGCTCAGGCTGAGAGAGAGAGGGGGATTCTTTCAGCCTGGATAGCAAATCTACAGTGTTTTATGAAAAAACGACTCAAGTTCAAATCTAAAAGTCTAGCTTAAAGCAGTACACAGTAGTTTCAACAGTGGTAGAGTGTGATAGAATCTTACCCCCAGGCAGGCTGATTGGTCCACAGGCCTTTCCCTGCTGGAAGATCTCGTGGCTGATGTACACATGCTTCTTACAGAGCCTCCACAGACCGAAGTGGGCTGCCTCACACGTCGTGTTGGCCACCTCCACCCTGGGGCTGAGCACAGCCCAGTAGTCCGTCACCACTGCCGTGAACATGCATGCCATGCCCACCATCAGGATGAAGATGGCAATCCTGATCTTAGTGCGCTTGTGCATGGCTTTGAGTCCTTAATTCACTGTTCTGTGAGAAATAAAATATGGATTTTCTCGTGGATGTGTTCGCAGCGTCTGGAGCAGGATTGCCAAAAAGAGTCTTCTCTGTGGTGAGTCTTCTGTGTCTATGGTACAGGGGAAAGAGGCCACTCTGCTGTGTCCTACTTTTAAGTCCCCACTCACAGACTGCAGCTTTAGAAGTACAGCTGTTGACTTAGATCAGGAAAGTTGATGACCAAACCAACTGTCATGGTGGGAAATGGGCGTGGAGCTCTTCTGTGCTGTTAGGTGATTCTAAAAGGGTTGCTATAAAAGTGAGCCTGAGTCAAGCTGCCAGGCTCTGATCCGGTTACATTGGGCGGGAGTCTGTAATGTGCCATAAGTGCACTCACATAAACAGTCCCCCCATGCTTCACACAATATGTCACTTCAGAAATAATTCTGGCCCAAGTATGCTTCCGTAGTGATTGTGGTTTGGTAACACAGGCCAGTGATCTTAGTAAGATTAGACATGTGCAAGTGGAGTGGCCTCAGCTTACAGATGACAATGTCATGTTATTACTAAAGTAAATTTATTATCTAAAGACAGCAACCAGCAAAAGTGAAGGCCTAGTCCATTTTTATTTCTTTACTAAAGACTGATTTCACAAACACATAACCAGAGATTAGAATTTAAAACTCAAAAATACACTTTAATAATACACTTTTATACCATAAAAAATTCAGGCTTTTCAAATTTGGCTTATCAGAGATGCTCATAAGACATACATGTGTGTTATCACCCTGTCAATCTGAATATTGAAATAACTAATGCAATGAGATAGTTTTCCCTTTTTTGTAGCTTTAGTCGCAGAGTTTAGCATTCACATGCTAAACTCTGTTGTAACACTTTAGTATCTGGCCATTTTTAAAATTGCTATTATAAAACTTAATTTATTCACTTAGAATTTACTTAAAATACAGGTAATGTGAAAACTAATAACAATTCAATAGTTAATGGTGAAATATTTAAAGCATAGTGATCCAAGATCCAATATAAAACACAGACTTACTTTCATAAATTTGTATTGTAAATTGCAATAAATGAAAACCACCCTTCAAAACGTGCTTACAATGATCCCTGAAAAGGTGGCTTCATGCCTGTGGTACGTCCCCACCATAAGAACAGTGTGGAGCATGTCTGTTTATCTGTTCAAATCCTTGGCCCACTTCAGCGTTTTCAGAAGCCCTTTGACCCACTTCCCCTTTGTGTGAGCTCAGGACAAGACAAAGTCAAAAAGTGCTCAGTGAAACTTGAGGAACTATTTGGCAGTGCTATAAGCATGGTTAAGTACTTCAGAGATAAGTGTACGATTAAATATACAAGTATGCCGCAGACACTTGAGAACATGATATTCCAAAATAACTCTCTATATTTCTCTGTCTATTGAATAAAAGTTTCACTGTGTAACTTTTCTGGTGGAAGGTTTTCACTTGCTTGTCTCTGTGGAGATATTATTGCTTTCCCTGAAATGTCCCACAGTACAGCATTAAATGTATCTAAGTAGCATTTATTTAGTTATAGGTGCTTATGTATCTCAAAATACCTACATTCTTACAAAGATCAGGCTCACCTCTCCACAGATTTGACCTGTAACCTGGCCTAGTAGTGTCCATGGCTTGTTCTCCTGGTTATAGAGATGTTTAATGTCATACTTTGGAACATTCCCAGAAAAGCAATAATAACATCTTCAAGAAGACAAGCAGGTGGCACACCCTCCACCAGAAAAGTTCAGAAAAGTTACATGACTCTACAGGATGGAATTGAAAGATTGCAGAGGGGTGTTGTTCATAACATTTTAGGATGAGGTGCTCCTGATACATACATCTCAATTCAAGATAAATGTTTCAAACACAAGGAGGAAAGGGACAAAGTATGCCCCCTCTTCTTTGGGACTTAACAGTTTGGCAACCCTTCACCACATCAGGGGTAGGTTCCATCATTTAGAGTTCCTGGTCCTGGGATTTGTCCTGATTATGACTTTTCCTGACTTGATTTTTACAGTGTTCAAATGAGGACTACAAACTATGATGAAGGAGCCTTTTTACACAGCAGATTGTTCTGAGGTGCCCATAGCGAACCACAGAGAGATGAACGCAGTTTCTGTGACAAAAATTATCCAGATAGTGGATATTCATTACATGTGTCCAGACCAGATTTGGCCAAAAGTAACAGCATCCGCATAATGACCTCTCCAAGACAGTAAAATCTGGCCTGTTGACTTGGGCTGGTTTGACCTTTGATCTTTCCTATAGCCATGCGGCAGATTTAAATGTAACTACACTCACAGAAGACAGATAGTGTCGGCAAAACTTGAACCACTACAGCATTGATTGCAATCACAAAGAACACAGTGGTGCATTGATTGGTCCTTATCATGACTAAGGCTCTGCTGCACCAATATTGCTCTAATGTCACGCCTAACTGAGCCGTTGGCCACTTATGTAAACACAAATGACTGTTTTGAATCACTGGTGGCAATTTTGATTCATAACAGCATATACATCAATATAATGGAATCCTCTCTGAAAATCATTTGAATGTATAAAATGTTTAGTCAATAGTGTGGACACGGATGATATCATTGCAATAATCTGTTGTGCTTGCCTAATTCCAAGTTCTGCTGGCCAAAAGTTTTCACAGATTTTGTTTTTCAGTCTGGTATACATATGCAACATACTGAGCAGCAGCTGCTACTCCATATTTTCTCACTACACGACTTAAAGAGTGTCATTAGTGGCAAATCCTCCCGACAGAAGACTGTTATTCTTGAAGACTGTGTGAGAACAATAGCAATACACTATAGGCTTTGACAGGGCAATCCTTAAGTAAATGTGACCAGTTTTCAAATTTGACAGTTTACTACAGCAGAGAGTATTAGAGTATTGTAATTATTGGTTTGGTAATTGTTAATGAACATACATGAGCTCTCACAAACACATTCTCATTCCTACATCACTGAAAAGTCTTGCCCAAGGGCACGTAGTATGCACTGCTGCCCCGCTACGCCATTTGGTATTCCCAGCAGTCTCCCATTCAGTACAAACCAGGCTCAACTCTGCTTAGCTCACAAGATCAGACCAGATCGGGCATTTACAAGTTTGGTATTAGACTAATTACAAATACAGCTTTAGTTTGTGTATCAAAAAATCAACTGAGCAATAAAGTCACATTTATAAAATAAATAAATATATAAATAAATACTACTACTACACTGCTACTGCTGCTGCTGCTGCTGCTGCTGCTGCTACTACTACTACTACTACTACTACTACTACTACTACTAATAATAATAATAATAATAATAATTAATATAATAATAATAATAATGTATGTCCCTGATCTCAGGTCAGATCACAAACATCAGCTGTAGACATGTATATTCAAAATGACTACAGCAACACAATTTGACACAGTGGAAAGAGATGATCAAATACACAGTTTAGTTTACTCTGATCTTTACATTTCATAAAAAAAGTAAGTATCACAATATTTGTTTCTAATCAGGATAGTGAAATGTAAAATAAATGCTCTTAAATCTCTGAGCTTTGTTCATACATCCTTTGCCTTTGTTATACTGGTGTTGTCACCTTTCTTAGTAGAGTCCGACCGATATATCAGTTGGCCGATATTATCAGCCGATGTGGGCTTCTGAAGATATATCGGCTATCGGCCGATATGCTTGCTGATATGGGCCGATATTTCGTGTGGGCATGTTATACCTCGTTATAAAGATTAGACTCTCTACATTATGTTAACTTAATTCAATTTACAGACAGATCAATGTCCTAATATGTGGCTCCGCATCAGAGTCATTTGTGTGTGTCTGTGTCCATACTGTCCCTGAACACACCCCCAAAGTCATGTCACTTCACTCACGTGCTCTTGTTTACACCGGCAGCTGTGCGCAACACTGAGATTATATTCTTTTTACGGACAACCGGTTTGAGTCTGGATTAAAAGGACATTTATTAGTGCAGACTTGTGATGTGAGGAGGAGCCTGTGTGGGCGGTGAGTGTTGGAAATACATCGACTTTGAAGCTAGTTTTTGGTTAGCAATTAGCTGCTGTAGCTCCCGCACATAAACAGGCTGTTTTCTATTGGCCTATTGTAAAGTGACTATATTGGCCGTATATTTGTTACTGGACCTGTATTGATATGTAAATCAGCTGTGAATAGACGTGTGAATGATCCACATCTATGCATATGATTAATTACCGCAGCGTACACGTATTTATGGCTACAGGCTAATAGCGGTAGTTTCTTTACTAGCTAGTAGTGATGGGTCCTTCGCAAACGAAACGGCTCTTAGATCCGGCTCTTTGAAGCGAACGACGGGAGCCTGCTGCTTATTGGGAGCCGTGTTTTCTCTTTCTCTCACTTTTTTTTTTCTTCACACCGCATGTAGACCCGTAGTTTGACAGCGGGCAGCGGCTGAAAACGAAGCTATGCGTGTGCATAGGATAAAAAAAAAAAGTGCATATTTGGCTGTAGTTCAGCATAAAATGAATACACCAGGACTAATCTTGGGCTCGAGTGAAGGAGAGAGATAGAGACTGAGTCCCGACACTCAGTCCTGGTTCTGTTTTGGTTTAGTCCTACTACCCGTCACTAGTAGCTAGACTGTGATCTACTGTTTGTAAATATGACATAAAGTGTCAGAATAACAATAAATGTTTCCTAAATAAACCCAATTTAAAATCCATTAGAGCCAAACCTAAGTTTTTTAAACAATTCAAGATTTACAGTGAATTTTTACATCACTAAATATATCGGCGATTATATCGGCTATCGGCAGCTCCAACTCCCATTTTATCGGTTTCATATCGGCCACAACATAATCCATATCGGTCTGGCTCTATTTCCTTGTGATACAAGTTTTGTATCATAAGTACTAGTTATGGAAGGGCATCTGGTGTAAAACCTTGCATTCACAAAGGTCCCACATGGGACCCCCCCCCCCAAAAAAAAAATTAAAGGCCCAAAACTATTGTTATATATTCTTTAAAAGCCCGAATGTCTACTTGTCATTCTATTTCTACCTTCTTGCTGTCAGAGAAGAGATTGGGTTAACACCAACACTTGCTTAGAGGGGTTGAGGATATTTTAAATTAAATAAATGGATATTC